CTACTTCCTAATAAGTAATATTAAAAGTCTCTTTCTTCACTGAAACACATTTACCTTCCATGGACTGCAATAGCAGCAACACCAGTCTTTTCTATCCTTTTTGCAAGGCTTACTGTGTCTTCAAGCTGGGAAAAAGTGATAGAAAACACGTTAGTTCAATTTGGAGGTTCATCATGGCCTCATTAATATGTTTCTCTCACATAAATAGTGCTGAAATCTAAAACAAAAAGGGCCCTCACTACAGCTATATATTTTATCACCTAGTCAATACAGAATTAGAGAATGCTTCACTATACTACCTTTGATACAGCTCCATTCTGTAATCCTAACACTGAGCAGCACTCCATGAACAACTGCGCTGATGTAAGAGTAATCTATTTCAAATTATTAGTAATAATAGCTGAATAATTTGGCTCCAAATAACTTGACTGAAAGAAACAAACAATTTCTGAAAAATGGTTATTATTGTTTCACCATCTTTAGAACTGTACAAGGCCTTAGTGAAAAGTGACAGTTCACTCAGTTCCCAGAAGGACCTATCTGATGGTATAGATTATGATTCAGATAATGTAACATATCCAAAATATAGGAGAAATTTATTTTGCTGTGGTTGATTTCAACAGTGAAACTGGTATTGTAGAGATAGCATGAATCAAGATTTTGAATTCCAATAACCTCAAAGTTTAGAGAATCAAACCCTGAGGCTTTGCTTTTCACTTCTAATTAAAAAAAAAAAAATCAGACACTTCTGAAAAATGAAATACCACTTTTGTTTTGTTTTTCCATACATGGAATTCAACAGCCAAAATGCCACATGTGGATAATTACTTTGATTTAAACATGTTTCTTTACATTCACCAGTGCAGCATGCGTAAGTTCATTGGGAACATTGCCACTTGTAAACAAGAACATTGAACCATTGGTATTTCCCCTATTTTAAAACAGCATACTGAATTCAATTTCAGCTTTTTCCCCTGGTGCTAAGAGCAATGTTGTGGAGTTTGGTAGGAGTGGAGGAAGGGAAGGGAGGGTGGTTCTCATGAGTAATATGCTGCCTGTGAGGGACTTGGATTCACCATTACTCACACTAAAATGTAAAGTATTTTAACCAATTTTAAATCCTGTATGAAATAAAACATTTCTAAATAATAATAAAATACAACTTTCAAAATATAATAAAATGGTCTTACCAAGGGCAAAATTCGGATTTTGCAGGTCACTGGTTTACTAATTCCTTTAACAAGGGTCCTCAGTATCTAAGCAAAGGGGGGTGGTGAACAAGGTCACAAAAAGCATATGTAAATCTTATTATCTTGAACATGCTCAGAAATTCGAACACCACTCAAAAAGAATAACCAGATGTCCTTCTTGAGGAAGCGTTTAAGTTTATAAAATCGGAATCATTAAAGTTTAGAATGACTATTCTGAGTGCTGGAAAAACTTGTATGTGACAAACGTGTTTGAGCTCAGGAAATGAGCCGAATTGAAGGAGGAGTTAAAATGTTACATTTAAAGATGTTCTGGGAATGCCTCACGTAAAGACAAAGGCAATACAGACATCAAGCAAAAACTACAATCTTGCTGTATATGTATTACTAGCCAGCACATTCAAATGATATAAGATGCTGCCAAAGCTATCCAACAGAAGTTCTGCCCAATAAAAGGCTGATTTTTTAATCTATCCAAGTTCTTAAAGGTTTCTTCTTTGTTCAGTGAAATTATGGATAAAAAGGGATTTAAATTTCTCTGAATCAAAGTAGTAACAGATTTTACTAATCTCTGTCAATTTTAAAGCGCACACATCTCAACTCAAGCAAGGAAGCAGCAAGAGAGTGTTAAAAAGAACCAACATAACATAAACAAGTGGCAGCTTACCACTACTTCTACAGCATTGTTAGGGAAAGTAAGTTTGCCAAAGTACTGCCAAGGTATTATATTTAATTTTTTTCTTGTGATGATATTAACTGGATATAATGACCCTGCCAACTATGGACCGGTCAGTCTGACTTTGGTCCTGGGGAAGATCTTTGAAAAAAATTGTCAAGGAGGCCATCAGCCACAAGCTCACATCTGGTAGGGTACTGAAAAGCAACTGGCATAGCTTTGTTGAGGAGAGGTCATGCCTAACAAACCTAGTGTCCTTTTATGACCAGGTAACTAACCATCTGGACATGGGACAGGAGGCAGATGTCATCTACCTAGATTTCAGCAAGGCCTTTCAGTAAGGCCTGTTTTCCATGAAATCCTCTCAGTTAAGTCGGAGAGTACTGGCCTGGACCAGGCTACAGTGAGGTGAGTTGGGAACTGGCTCAGTGGCCGATCCCAACAAGCCATTATTGATGGGGTGGCCTCATCCTGAAAGGTCATCTCCAGTGGTGTACCCTATGGGTCAGTGCTCGGGCCTCTGCTCTTTAACATCTTTATTAATGACCTGGATGAGGGAGTGAAAAGTGTAATGATTAAGTCTGCAGATGATACCAAGGTGTGGAGACAAGTGGGTACATCAGTCAAGTATCTGGGAAGACCCTGACAGGCTGGTCCTATGGGCTGAACAAAACCATATGAAGTTCAGCAAGGACAAATGCCAGGTCCTTCATCTGGGAAGGAAGAATCCTCACCATATCTATACAATGGGTGGCAGTCCACTGGCTGGCACTGCACCCAAAAGGGACCTGGGGGTGTCAAATGACCAGAGGATGAATATGAGTCAGTGTGATGAAGTCGCCAACAGGGCAAATAGAACTCTGGTGTGCATTAGCAGGTGTGTCACCGACAGATCCAGAGAGGTGCTCCTCCCCATCTATTCAGCATTGGTGAGGCCACAGCTGGAGTACTGTGTCCTATTCTGGGCACCGCACTTCAAGAAGGATGTGGACAAACTCAAAAGGGTGCAGAGAAGGGCCACCCACATGATCAAGGGCCTGGGGGACAGGCCCTATGAAGAAAGACTTTGGGATCTAGGTTTGTTCAGCCTGAGCAAAAGAAGGCTGAGAGGTGACTTGATAGCCACCTACAAATATGGCAAGGGAGAACAACTTTTTAGAAACCCCCTCTTCTCCCCTGGAAGATGTGGACCAATGGACACAAGCTAGCTGAGGAAAAGTTTTGGCTGGATGTAAGGAAAAACTTCTTTTCAGTACGGGTAACTAGAATCTGGAACACGCTTCCAGCAGAAGTGGTGCAGTTGCCATCTCTGGCGATCTTTAAGAGGAGGCTGGACAAATACCTTGTTGTGCTTGTTTGAGCCCAATGACCTCCTGCCCGTGGCAGAGGACCAGACTTGATAATCTTACAGGTCCCTTCCAGTCCTTCTTTCTATGATTCTATATTGAAATGCTGTTGTAGCTTAACATATTAACAGCTTCTCTTGTTAGACAACAGATAGTGTAAACTATATATTTTTGGGAAAAAGGCATAAGTTAACTTTAATAATCAGAGCAAAATGCTGGAATTTACAATTCTTAAAGTTAAAGCGATTAGAGAGCTATGCAAATTACTTCATTTAAGTAACTGATTTAAATGTTTTGCAGTGGCTACAAAGCATGTAATTAAGATTATTCACTCTACCCATTTACATGCTGTCAGGTTACCCCTAACAAAACAAACAGGATTCCATAAACCTCACAGAAGTCCTGGATACAGTGAGATAGGACTCACTTCTATTCAGGGAATAGCTTTGTTTTTAGCTTACTTAAGGGAGCAGTGGCAGAGCTGTCAAAGCATCTCTCTATAAATCCAGAGGCAGGAGTTTGAGGTTTGTTGTCAGAGCTGCTCCAGCTGAAAATGATACTTGGTCATTCAGACAGGGTGTCAAAAGGAAATAGATGTTAAGCTGATCTCATTATTCCTCCGTGCGCCACTGGCTTCAGAAATGGGTATGTCTAAACATGCAAGCCCAGTGGAATACTGCATGGGTTTTGCCACAGAGTTACCAATGCAAAGCCACTGAACTCTGATAATAGTTCATTCTAACAGGGCACTCTTGCAAAAGGTGGTAACCAGTGTCCAAGACAAGCCAGTTTTCAAGTATGGGTGACACTACTAGGCAATGGATTAACTGGTGAAGCTATCCCGGGAATTACATCACAAAAGGGACTGGAGATCACAAAAGAAAGCTCTCTCAGTTATTTTATAGGAAGCAGACAGGCTTCAACTGCAAATGTCAAAGAAAAAGTAGACTCTGTGGCTTTATAAACAGACATCTCATTTGAGGATGTCTTGCCTCACCTGAATCCAAAGCTGGGACAAATGAGAAGCAGGATAGTGAGCTAGTATGTCTGTACGATTTCAGGACAAAAGGCTTTTCTCTTGGGAGAAATGAGATGTCTGCTTATACTCTGTAACTCTAAAGAAAAGCCATGTACAGGAAAGGATGGACCCTGGAATCCTTAGAAAGACTGATAATCAAGAGTTGTTAGCAAAATGAAGCAGAGAAATTTGTATTTTTTTATTGCTTTGTCTAAGATCTCTATTTTCTTGTGGTATCTGAAGAGCAAATGGTCTGGGAAATTTGAAAAACTTCTGAAGTTATGTGCTATAATTATCAGGTGTCCCTGATGAGGTGAACTGTAAGTCAAAAAAGGGTGTGCTAAACTAATGGAAAGTCTGGTTGATTCAGCTTTCATCTAAGAGCACCAATAGTAAGGATCTATATAGAATCTCAGTTTTTCACAGGGGGTGTAAAACAGAAGAGTGTACTAAATACTCCAGATACAATACTTTTGCTCAGCCCTGGGAAGCTTAAAAGTGCAAAACCCTTTTGTGAGGGCCTAAATACAGAAGACTGACAAGTGCCCAGGCAAAAGAGCTCAATCAGGTCTCTGACCAGCAAATAGGGGTTAGCAGCAACCAAAAAATGCTGCCAACTGTAGCCTGAAATGGTGCAAGTTTAAAAACTGAAAAGGAAGCAAGCAACAATATAACAGACCTTGCAGTCATGCAGGAAAAACAGTATAACTGGTGTGTGGAGCTTTCATTTGAAGGTGCAAAACATATTCCATGCCTTATTGTTTCAAATTTGCCTTCCACACAACCTTCCCTAACTTCAATAACCCCAGTATCAAAGGAATCACTGTACACATAAACATCATATTTTCCATGGAATTTTCAAACTGCCAAACTGGATACTTACAGACTCAATTTTGTCAGGATCAGAAAGCAGTGCTGCTCCCATACCTCCCTAGGGAAGTGAATGAAAAGATATTCATGTTATTCACATTACATACTGAAAACATTCAGCTTGACACATTTATCTTATGAGATTTATTTTGTCTAATGGCAAACTGCAGTAAAAATCGGAGCCTCCCGTATAAGAAAAATATTTCCAAAGTTTCTGAAGGATTTCCATTTAGAAAAGAATCCAAATTGGATATGTATTCAGTGAAAGTGTATAGCTGAACTCTTGTTCAGCTGAGCTGTGCCTAAAATTCCATGAGGCTAACGAAGTAGCAACTTTAAGCATCAAATACCAAGCTTTTTCCACCTTGATTTCTTTGAAGAGCAGCCAGAAGTTTAAAGAAACCCTAACCCCCCCCCAAAAAACCCTGAAACAAACAAATCCCCCACATCTAGCTTCTGTAGCCAATCTGCCTCTGCTGATTATGTCAATGACAGACATGTATATCGAGTCCCTAACACTCAATAAAGGGTTTTATAGGTCCTACAAACCAATGGTCCTGCTACTGTGTGAAACATAAGGAAAGAAATACAAATGAAATGACATCACAAAACTACTAATATTTTTAATATATAATGTTTTCTCTTATAACTTGCTTCCCCCACCCCATCATCCACTCTATATGGACACACTGCTGTTTAAATGAGCAGCCCATTTGTGTTAGAGACTTTTAGAAATTTTCTAGCAGAACGTTGCACTATTAGAAATATTCCTTGGGAAAAATGTCCATAACAACAACATTTGACAGAAACTTTCTTGCTGGTTTCCCTGTTATCATTAGAAATAAAGGACTGGGAATGGGCCTCAGCTAATGGGCTCCCAAGCTCCTTGCCAGGCTGGACTCTCAGATCCTCAGCAGCCCAAAGACAGGAGCCAGAGCCAGGATACAGGACTAAGTGGACCACTGAAGTAAAGATACCAACATTCAAAGCTACTCCTACATTTCTTAAGTTCTGAATAACCAAACTTCACAAAGAAAGCAAACTTTGTGAAGGAATATTGTTACTCATCTTTAAAAGGTACTGTGAGAGTGATTCTGGGGCTGTGAAGGTCCAACAATTATGCAAGAAGCAAGGATTTCTGACCAACTATGTTCCTGGGACAGTTAGACAAATGTTCGAATCCAAGCCCTGAGAAAGAATATCTAAACCCTGAGACAGCATGTCTAACTCACCTTTAACCCTCCCTAAATAAGGTTACTAAGGATCTTTGATTAATCTACTACACAACTGACATATTATACAAGTCTGTCTTCCTTCCATCTTATTAAAGTCAAGTGACCTAAAATAAGTCCCCCTCCTTCCCTTCCTCTTCAAAGGGAGTTTCAAACTGTTCCATCAGTTTCACTAATGGAAGGGTTTCTATCCCTGGAAAACAACAGTCCATTTAGACACAAACATCCTATTCTTGCTGGCTGAAAAACTGAAAAAAGCCCAAGCTATACTGAAAACTTGCATCTGTTCAGTGTCAAGGCAATACACACTATAAAAGACATGTTTGGCAATGAGAGCCTTGGTGTTTATTGGCAAAGCTTTTAAACCAGTACTGGAATATTAAAAAGTCTGATTTCAAACAGCTAAGTCTATTCACAGGCCAGCTAAATTAAATTTCCGAAGAAACTGCACATTTACCTAACACTGCAAAATGCTTCTAATGCTTTTAATGAATGCTTCATCTTAATAAATGCTTCATTTTAATCTGAAATGTCTGGAAGAGCTATCTTAGGCTACTACTGAACTAGCCTGGCGAGGCAGCAGCACAAGCTGTGGTTATAATGAAACCCTTTCATTTATTATAGCTAATAATTCATATTATATAGCTATAGTTAATGTGGCTATATTTAAACAAACACCAATAAACAGGGTGGGGTCCAGACTTAACAAAATGCAAGAGAACCCAAAACAAAGGATACAGAATGATGACTTAATTATCTATGGAGATGTTTTCTCTTTTCATTCTGTATGTGATAAATCCTGAAAGATGCATCCTACAGGAAATCTATTAAATATGCTGATAACAAAGACAGCAGGGCCATCTTAAGTGTGTAACCAAGCTCTCTAGAATGAAGTCATGAGTCATGCAGAGTGAACCAAAGCTCTGTTGCTATGACAACGACTGAAACATTTCTACATTGTCTTCTGCATGTACACCTGACATGAAAATTAAGCAATATGGTGTGTTAAAAGCTCTAGTTATACCTCAAGTGGCTTAGTAATGTTAAAAGCTATAGTCTGATTAATTTAATGTACTGTAACTTTAAAAGACTTAGAACTATTTTAGCGTTAATTAGGGCTGTGCAAAGCTTTGGTTTCTGATTCGATTTGGTGGAGATTCAGCCCTATTTGGTGGCCGAATCTCTGAATCCGAATCAAATCAGAGGACCCTTTAATCTCTCTGAATGAAATCAATTTGGAGGGTTCTGATTCAGACAGACTCAGCAATTCAGACATCAAACTTTTAAAGCTGTGCCTACATACCTCTAGGTAGTAGGCAGCTTGTGAATGCTGTGATGCTGGGGTGCATGGAGCATCATGGGGGCTCCCCAGTGTGCTTGGCAGACCCAAAAGAGGGCCAGAAGCACTTCCAGTCCACTTCCAGGTTCACTACCGAGCACACAGGCGGCCCACCCTGAGCAACCCCAGCTTGGCGACTGGTGCCTCTGTCCTTCCCAACATCGGCCATTCTACAGGTTCCTGTAGAAAAACTTCTGTGTTTTGTTTGTGATCCTCTGGACAGCTTTTCCTGATAGATGCCAGCACAGCTGCACCATTTGTAGTATTGCAGTGACTATAGTTGCTTTGATTGCTTATCTTGTTATTGACTATAATTGCTTTGACTGTTAATTTTATTTCTCTTTTTATATAAGGAAAAGATTTAACCATTAAAATAAAGTTATGATTTACTTTTTACTATAATTTGATCAGTTATGTCATGGGATGGGGTCCCCAGGGATGGCCATGATACCCCTAGGGCTCCTTGACTGTGCCAATCCTGCCCAACGGGCATCCTCTTTCTCACCCACCGCATCTTGCTGGTAATAATATAGGGAGGCTGCCCCTGATCTTTTTTGTCTGGACATGGTCCTGCTGGATCCCGATGAACCACGTGGGTTCTTAGATCCCCTTTTTGGATCACGCTCAAAATGGATTTCTCGTGGGACACCCTCAGCCTTATGGGCTAGATGTGTGGCTCCAAAACCGCCCCAAGCCTTGCATTTAAAAGTTGTCTCTCTTGGGGCTCTGCTCACCCCCATCTCTGTGCCCCACACTGGCGCTGGGCTCTGCTCACCCTGTTCGGCAGTGCGCCCCCTGGCGCTGGGCTCTGCTCACCCCTTTATCGCTGTGCCTTCTCTGGAGTTGGGGTCCCCACACCGTAGTGGGTCCTCAGTGAGGCCTCCTCCTTCCCCAGTAGCCTCAGCCCAATCCACTGGTATTCATAAACAGCACCTTAAACATAAGCCCCTGGGCTATAACATAATATAAGCAGTTCAGGGTGTGCTCTGTCCTTTAAAAGATCAAACTTTCCCTAGCACTAAGTGCTTTGTAGGCTAGGGTACCTGTTGAGCTCCTGGAGCCCCATTAACCCAGCTCAGGCAGTCCCTGGACAATTCTTCCCTGGAGGCTCCTTCCCCTTAGCTGCTGCCAGAGAACTAAACTTTTAGTCCCATCCCTGGGGTTTATATATGCCCAGGGCCCTGCCTCTTCCGGTCAGCTGACCAGGTGCAGGCTGATTTCCTCATTAGCCTGTTGCCATAATAACATACGCCTGTGGGCTTCTGTCTGGTTCTTTGGGCTCTCTCCCTAGACAGTTTCTGCTCATAGAGGAGCAGGCACCTTAGTGCCCTGCGACAAGTCATTATTAGTGCTTGGAATTAACCATCTATTTTAAATTTCTTATTGCTTACCATAAATGCATTTGACATATTGGTCTCATGATTTTAGACATATTTGACTCATGACTTTAGAACTTAAATTTAGTATAAGGAAAATGCTTGTGTAAGGGTTTGCGGTATGTCTGGTGTATGTGGACATGTTTTGGTTTATGTGGAAGGAGGTAATGAAAGAGTGAATGATGAATGTATGTGACAGCAATGGAGGAAGACATGCTTCTTGCAGGTGAAAATAGCCTTCTGTGGTTTAATGGTTAAGGGATGCAGTGTACGTCGAGTCAGCAGTGAAGGATTACCAAACATTAAATCATGCTCCATCCTGATGGCTTAAGACTGCAAGTGATGGTCCCTGAAGACTGCAGACCACAAAGCCAAAAGATCATGACCTACCAATCCCGGCCTGCCAAAAGGACAAAGAGGATGGCCTTCGTATCTGACTCAGCGGAATGCATAAGCTTGTATGAACAGCTATTACTATAAAGAATGAACACAAAGACAAGACTTTGGGTCTCTTCCACCTACAAGAAGGAGTTTTCAGCGTGTCCAACAACACCTGACTCCAACTCTCTTGTTCAGCCTGGCTGGCCACCAGACTGACCTTGAGCAACTTTGAAACTTGGTAACACCTTAACCCTTGCAAGACAGTCTAATTTCTGTATGTGTGTGAACGAATGAATGAATGAATGAGTATGCATGGGAGCGAGTGAAGCAAATAACCTTACTATTCTTTATTCTTTTCATATTGCATGTTTTATGTTCCAATAGATGTGGCATTGTGCCTTATTCCCTGATAAAATTCACACTGTACGCCCTGCGCGCCCAACACATTCACATGTACAAAGAGGCGAGATTCTTGATTAACGTAGTTGTGCTGGCAGGAGCCGCTAGTATAGATTTTTACATGCAAAGCTGCATTGTTGTCAAGCATAGACTATTTTGCTCATGGTTAAGAGTGCTTTTATTATATCAACACATAGCACAGCTTTTCTGGTACAGAACACTGGTATTCCTATATTGATAAAGCACTTGGGTGGACATATGGCCCTACTATGTAGGCTAGCTGGAACCTCTCAATCTATGTTAAACTAGAGGGGGTACTATCTGCAGTTCATTCAGCCGAAATAAGAAGGTGCAGGTCCCTTTGTTTAATTATAGTGGAAAAAGAATAAAGATTAGATTTCAGCTTTGTGTATGTATGGGGCAAGAACAAGCTAGAAGGAAAGCAACTGGAAAAGGCAGGAGATGTTGAGTAGAGCACTTTAGTATCACCTTAAAAGGAAGCCAAGAGAGACTGGTGGCTGAACAGAACCTTAGGGCTGAGAGCAACCCCCATTGTTTGTTCCTGCTGTGTTGAGGGAAACAGAACTTTGTGTACAAACATGACTGCCCTCAAAAAACACTCTGAGTCATCAATTTCTCCTCCTACAAGGCTCTGAATACTAGCTAGCTGTTTACACTAAAGGGAGCAACAATAAAGTATTTGGTTGATGCTTCTAACAAGCCAGACAACAGACACAGTTCACAATTCAAAAATAAGAATGTGAAATGACTGCTTCCTCTTTTCAGAGTTGCAGTGAAGTACCAAATGACTCTTTGGGAACATAAATAACAAACACTTGTAACATTCCCAGCAAGGAAAAACCAATATAAGAATTTCTCATAATCAGAAAGCTAGAACATGAGTTGCTGTGAAAAAAAAATATTTAAAGGGTTTGAAATCACTTACCTTAGTAGAATATTCTTTTGGGCAGCCCATGTTGACATCAATGCAGGCAACATCATTCTCTCTGAGAAGAAAACAACAACAAAACCTCCAAATATATTCTAGACTAAAACCAAGAAACAGCATCTGACCAGAGCATATTCAGGCGAGTTATCCATCCTCAAGGAAATCAGATAAGTATTTTAAGTTTGGACACTTTAGCTGAGCCCCTCAATCTTTTATCTTCTCACTAATTTTAATTATGGGTAAGATAAAACAGTGCTGTGCATAGCCACCTCAAAATCTACCTAAGAACTGAATTTGCTTCACGGAAAGCTCCAAGAGCTCATCTTCCTTAAGTCTAAGGGGGAAAAAAACTTGATTAGGAACTTTCTCCAAAGCCCAAACTCTACAGTACATGGTTTTGATTGATTTTTGAGAATAAACCCTGTGTGGGATCAAGTTATATTCACTGGTATTGCAGGAGGCAAAACTCTATCTGATTATCTTCTATTAAAATAGAAAATGTAAGAGATATAAATTTCTCTATTTATGTTCATACTGTATCTGGTTGAATGCTTTAAAATCATTAAGGATCATAGAATCAATGAGTCGGAAGGGACCTGGACAGATCATCTAGTCCGCCCCCCTGCCATGGGCAGGAAGGAGCACTGGGGATGGGAAGGGTCATAAGACCCCAGCCAGGTGCCTGTCCAGTCTCCTCTTGAAGGTTTCCAGGGAAGGTGAGAGCACCACTACTCTGGGAAGCCTATTCCAGGCTCTGGCCACCCTTACAGTGAAGTAGTTCTTCCTAATATCTAACCTAAACCTATCCTCCCTCAGCTTGTGGCCATTGTTCCTGGTGACTCCAAGGGGGGCCCTGGTGAACAGACTTTCCCCGAGTCCCTG